CGTAATTATGACATCAGGAAAGGTGCCACAGTGGCCACTGCTTCACTCAGAACCACATACTGCACATTCACGAAGGGGGGTCGGAACTACTGTAACCAGCTGCCACTCGGGTGGTGCCATCTTGACTATATCCTATATCTTTATTATAATGTGTATATATTGTAGATTACGATGGAGTATTACACTAAGCAAAGAGATGTTACAACAGTGGGCACCGTATATATTTTGATCTATTTCATACTGTCTTGGTGACAGAAAAGAACGATTTTCATTCTGCAGGGAAACGCGTGTCCTTACTGTGCATATTGAATCTTGAATCTATGTTTTATGAAGACCCTATGTGCGCTCAGAGCTGTGGCACAAGTTATGCACCGAAATCTGGTGGAAGAAAAATGATAATAAGACGAAAAATAAGTATGTGTGTGACTTATGGGCTGATTAAGTGGTGGGTGATCGATGTGCCTGACATCGATTGATTTAGTTTCAGCACCGCAGTAGTGGCCAGCTCTTGTTAAGATATAAACAGAATGAAAGCAGACAAGGTAATTACAGAACTTGTCTTGAGAAATAGCTTTCAAATTGACTCAAAGATTAAATGCATTTTCAGTGGAGGCAACTTTATAAATTAGGCTATTGCTTTCTTTTCACTTTCTGCATCATTTAAGATTTTACTTGAGATCGCTCTTAAAGAAGCATTTAACAGTAGCTGGCCACTACCGCGGTGCTGAAACTAAATCAATCGATGTCAGGCACATCGATCACCCACCACTTCATCAGCGCATAAGTCACACACAGCCTACTTATTTTTCGTCTTATTATTATTTTTCTTCTGCCAGATTTCGGTGTGTAACTTTTGCCACAGCTTTGATCGCACACAGGGTCTTCATAAAACTTAAAGATTCAATATGCACAGTCAGGACACGCGTTTCCCTGCAGAATGAAATTCGTTCTTTTCTGTCACCAATTAATGCCAAACAATATAAATCTGAAGTATGAAATAGATCAAAATATATACGGCGTGCACTGTTTTAACATCTCCTTGCTTAGTGTAATATTAATGTGCCTGCCGTGGCTGGATCTGTGAGCGTTTGGTCGCTAAGAAGATTGTTAAGAGTGGGTCAGCTCGATCTTACAACTCCTTAGTGAAAGATCTTTATGAGAGTTTATGACATTTACCGGGAGAGCTAGAGCCATTTGACTAAAGCTGACGTTATTACTGCTGTAACATGATGTTATTAGGCTAAATACTACATTTCTAACAGTATCTGAGCTGATTTATTGACACAGCATACTTGTAGGCTGCTTTAACGTTAAGTTTACAGAGGAAATAACGGGAAATAAAGGGATGTGACTTAATCGGGTGAAAATATTGTTAGTGAAACAGAAACAAGCGTTAGTTAGGGGACAAGAGCCAAGAGTCACAAAGACTCACGTATGTTAAAAGTTACTTACAACTGGTGTATTTAGGCTACTGTATGTGTCCGGGGTCCTTTGCCTCTGGAAACAAGTAACGTGACCCCTAACTTGTCCCCAAATGAATGCATGTTTCTGTTAGGCCTATGTGTTTCACTAACGTTCTTTATGTATTATGAAGAATGTCAGACTGGCCAATCAGTGGCAGAGTTGGGCCCGGAGTCACAAACAGAGCATTTCGACTGACACAGAACCAACACTGTGCCGGTTCCCGAACCTAATTAAGTAGGCTACTTAGAACGGCATGAAAGACAATCTGACATTCTGTGTGTTGTTGGTTATTTCCTTAAAAACTACGATTTTATTCTCATAATATTATGACTTTTTCTCAGTTATGACTTTATTCTTGAAATATTACGAGTTTTTTCTCGTAATATTTCGAATATGAAATAAAATTGAAAAAAAAAATTGAAATCTCCGGAAAATTTTTTTCTTCAATGTGGCCCTTATACCCGAGTGGCAGCTGGTTACAGTAGTTCCAACCCCCCTTCGTGGATGTGCAGTATGTGGTTCTGAGCGAAGCAGTGGCCAATGTGGCACCTTTCCTGATCTCATAATTACGAGATCTTTTCTCGTCATTACGAGATCCTGATCTCGTAATTACAACATCCTTTTCTCGTAATTACAAGATCCTTATCTCGTAAAAAAAAAAAAAAAAAATTATCTCGAGATAGGGTTGGGTTTTTTTTATCCAGTGAATGCAGTGCGCTTCTGTAGAAAATAGTTCCGGGTCACGCAAGTTGGATCAAATGAAAAATCAAAATCAAATTTTAATCGTGGCCCATTCTTCGATTTGCTATTTTTGATGTGAGCATAAAATCAAAAATAAGAAAAACAAACCATTTTTTGTATTTTTGAATTTGATTATTAAACGAATAATGAAAAAACAAACCGTTTTTTCGTTTTTTGATTTTTGATTTTAAATTGAAAATGGAATGAATGAATGATACACGGACCTTTTAATATTCAATTCAGTTCAATTCAATTAAATTTTATTTATAAAGCCCAATATCACAAATGACAATTTGCCTCACAGAGCTTTACAGCATATACAACATCCCTCTGTCCTTTGGACAAGGATAAGGAAAAACTGAGGAGGGATTCCTCTTCAAGGACGGACAGACGTGCAATAGATGTTGTACAGAACAGATCAGCATAATAAATTAACAGTAATCCGTATGACACGATGAGAGAGAGAGAGAGAGAGAGAGAGAGAGAGAGAGATCCTCCGGCAGACTAGGCCTAAGTCAGCCTAACTAGAACAGAACGATTTGACACAGTGTAGGAACGATACGATTCGATACAATTCTATGGTTAACATTTGTTGATATAGACATTAATCGTACATTATAAAATAAAGAAGCCAATTCTATAAAAGTGACATTCTTACAGTATTTTCAAATTTGTAAAAGACCACATCCCCAAGCATTGTTGCTGTATGGCACTGGCAAAAATAAAATAAAAAAACAAACAACAACAAAATCACATGTCAAATGTATTTATTTTTAGACATGGACCAAAAAAAGACTTGCTGAATGAAAATCATTTTGTTGGATGGGATCAATATAAAAATGAGAAGTTTTAAACTTAAAGTGAAGTGAACTTTAAGTAAAGTTTAAGTGTTTTAAACATACACTACTTGTGTTGTTTTTATGGTATTGTCTGTGTTTTTGTATGTATCTTATATGGAGTTGAGTCTGGAATAAAGTTTATTATAACGCTGTACAATATAAACATTAAGCAGAATAAAATAATAACATGCTATGTAGGGGCAGAATCTGACATCTCCTGTTATTGGCTGATATCATGGACTGTGATGACTAGCAGCTTATCACTGACAGCATGTCAGACTATTTCTCTGTGTTTGCTACACTCTTGTTTGTCATTTATAAAAAGATAAATCACTTTTCTATAATACATCAATGATATTTCAATGGAATAAATTACTTATTGACTTATTCATACTTCAAAAACAGCATCAATAAGTGATTAACATAGGGGGGATCAAAATAAAATAAATAAATAAAATAAAAATCAACCAGCCACCCTCCTCCCCTGACAAGTAAAGAACAGTCCCTAAAGTGCGGTGAGGTTTGTGGAAATGTGAACTGCTCGTTTCTCCTCTGACACGCCACATACCTGTGTGCTGCCAGGGCTCGGCTGGTATTTCTGGGCAGTCATGACACTGACGAAGACTTTTTGGACCTGGAGCCGGGCTTGTCGGTCGCCGGGAGGCCGTTATCATGCGACGCCGTATTTGACAGGAATACGTATTTCTGTCTGTGTCTGTGACCCCGCGTTCAACACGCAACCAGCAGGATTCGCCTTTAGTTTCTGCTGCGGCTTGGCTGCTCCCTGGTTTATCCAACCAGCATTTGCTTCTGCTCCTCATCTCCACCGGTCAAGCTGGCGCTGATGTTTATGTCCATTATCGTTGTCAGTAATGCCTGGTACGGAGCATGCCACCGGCTCTCGCGTTGTTTTCGAGATGCAAACTGTTAAAGCCAGTCAACTGATTGCTAGTCTCGCGATACCTGAATCCATGACTCTACACTCGATTCATCTAAGGATTCATGGCTGATTCGTATCGACTGAGGAGGCTGCTACTGACGTAGCCGTATCTCTCGCTTGTCCAACTGGATATCCGGTCGTATCGGTTAATCGTTCCCAACCCTAATAGCTGTGCTGTACAAAAAAACACGTATACTCAGCCAACATACCCTGTTAAAATACAGGTTCAGTTGATTCAAATAATGTTAAATATTGAAGTTTTGACCCCTAGAACCAAATGTCAGAGTCATAAGCCGTTTTTAGGTAGGAATTGTGCAAAGTCTTTTTTCAGCATTGGCAGTATAAAAACAAAATCGGAGAGTGGGGCAAAATGCCGCCTGCCTAATTTTGTTTAGAATGCGCCTTTTTCGGGGAAATGGGGGGCGTGAGCAAGTAACAAAACGTGCAGCTCAGCGTGTGACCTAACCAGTGACGTGGGAAGGAAGCCACGGCTGGTCAGTCCATCGGCGATTCTCTAAGTTGGCCCGTTTCTAGTTGGTCCGTTCCGTTCTGACGTTTAATGGCCTCTTCGTTTGCGAGGGCAAGGAGGATGCGCAATTCCTTGTCTCCTCAGTTGCTCATCTTTACAGTGTCTGTCAGGTTTGCGTTTCCCTCTTGCTACTAGCTGCTAGCTAATTCCTGCTATCAGCTGTTTACTGTTAATCCAACACCAGTGGATAACACGTGCGGCGTCATCAACAGCTCCTCCCACAAGTCTTCAACAGCCTCTCCCACTGCGGAAGGCCGCCTCGGTCTATTTCAACTAAAAGGGTTCCACCAATATGACTACCCTACGAGGTGGAAAATTGGGCTCTTTGTGTCTAAACGCTGCAGCTTGCCGGCAAAACGGCCCAACATTCGAGGAAAATCTGGCAGTGTAAAAGGGGCTATTGATCCTTGATCTATGATGATGTTTGCATTCGATGAGCAAATGCACCTGGATCCTTACTGCCTGTCCTTTTACCCTGACTCATTAGACACAATGGCAAGTCCGGGGAAAGACAACTACAGGATGAAGAGCTATAAGAACAAAGCCTTAAATCCTCAGGAGATGCGACGAAGGAGAGAGGAGGAAGGAATTCAGCTACGCAAACAGAAAAGAGAGGAGCAGGTAAACACTGTGTCCTCTTGAACCATGTGATTAAAACCCCTTGTACTTTAAATTCAAGTTAGAAAACAATGCAATAAAGAAAGACTTCCTGATTTTGTTGTAGCAACCTTAGATGCCTGAATTTCTACCCAATGTTTTGAAACTCAACATCTTTCACTGTCTCAAAACATCAACAGTAGGCATTTCACATTTGGATCCCTACAACATTGGGGAGTTTATGTATTTTTTGTACTTGACAAGTATTACAATAGCATATCGGACAGATCACTGCTCTTTCCAATTTTCTGCTTGGAGAGGTGTCATCAGTGGACTTGATTATTTTACCTGGTCTATCTATTTAAATAAAATTACTTGTACTTATCCAAGAGTGGGAAAGTCTTAATTTGCTTAACATTGGGTTGTTGTTTTTTTGTTTTTTTGTAATTCATGGCCTTGGATGGTCTCAGTTACAATTAAACCATTGTCACAATCAGTTCATCAAGCCAAGTATATAAACAGCAGATTAATCAATTTACCTTGACTCTGTGCCCACAGCTGTTCAAGAGGAGAAATGTATATGTACCTTCAAATGATGAATCAATGTTGGAATGTCCGATCCAGGATCCAGACATTAGCTCCACAGTGCCTGTTGCAGGTGTAAGTGCTGTTTTACTGTTGTGTTGTGGTATTGATAGCTAAAGCCCCAATATCAAACACATCTGTCTCAGATCACTTTTTTCTACAACTGTGCTTGTCTCCAATCTGATTATTTATCTAATGTTGCCATTTGTGCAGGATGGAGTCATAACTCCAGATATGATTCAGATGATCTTCTCTGATGACCCAGACCAGCAGCTAATTGCTACACAGAAATTTAGGAAATTACTCTCCAAAGGTTTGTGTTGTATCAAGTGCAGATATTGACATCATTTATTTGATTTGAAGTTAAAGTAATAATCTCTCAGAGCTTTTTTTTTTTTTTTTAGTCCCTCCAGGATTTTGCGGGGGTTTTGGGGATTTTTAAGACCTAAAATTCCAGGTTTCACTGTTGCTTTTCTAAAGAATTTCAATGCAAGTTGCAATGTTTTTAGGCCTTTTTTGCGAAGTGAAAACTGCAGAAAGACTTGACTTTTTCTGTTGTATGATTTTATTAAAAATGGAAAGCAACTTGTTCCAGTGAGAATAAAACTGCATTGCTCTGAGTGTTCCAAGTATCCTCATGAAAAAGGCTTAAAAAAAAGCTTTCACACTATGTATAAACATTTTATTTTAGACTTTTTATTCTTAAACTATTTTCTTTGTCACACACATACACACATCATTACATTTTGTTGGTAAATTTTAGACATGACGTGATGGTTCATCTCCCACATTCGTGTCTGCATCATCACAACCAGAAACAAGGAAGTGAGTTTGGCGACTTGCAGAAACCTATGATGGTTGGTCAAATTTGTGGTGCGATTTGACAAAATTACAAGGTCACACTGAATTCAAGGAGATTGGTTGAATTTGTGTTCATTTTTGCAGTGGCATCATCCTGGATGGGTTGTTTGTTTAAGTCTCTCTTGTGCCACCACTCCATTACTGACTAACATAATAGAGATTAAACCAAAAAGAGTGCCAACTTTTGAAATTCACAACTGAACTGACAGTTTGACAGATGATTAAAATAACAATGACCACTACACCTGAAACTGTTAAAAGTAATGAAAACAGATGCAAAGCAAGAAAACTTGATATTTTTGAGGAATACACAAAGACTGGAAGAACCTGTCTAATAATGTTCCAGCTGCATGACCAAATTGAATTGCTTAACTATAATACAGAATACTGTAATGGTTTGTATCGGTATCTCATTACTGTTAACTTCATACCCACTCAGATGTACATTTTCTACTGAACAGAAAAGGTAAATTGACTTCTAATCCCTTTTGCAAATGAGTTGATTAGGAATACTGCCTTCTTTTAAACGTTTCATTCTTTAAATTAGGTTACTTTCAATAAGAGATCAATCAGAGTTAAAAAAGAGTTCTGTTTTTCTGTGCAGAGCCCAACCCACCCATAGATGATGTTATTTCCACTGCTGGTGTTGTAAATCGTTTTGTGGAGTTTCTGAAGAGGAGTGAAAACTGCACACTGCAGGTGAGAGCCTCACAACACAGTTTATATGAAGTGACTAATGCGGTGTGCCGCTGCTCCTACCTAAGACATGTTATCAGGCTACCTAAGACATGTTATCCGGGCTCTTTAGTGCGAGTGTTTCACTCTATTTCAGTAACAGTAAATGGCCTTTGAATGTGGTACGAGGTGGTGGGTAGTTCTGTCTGGCACAAGCAATTTGCAAGGCATTGTTAGATTCCAGGCCACAAAGGACTGACCAGTAGAGATGCACTATTTGCAATTTTCTTGGCAGATTCCCATTTTGTAAGTCTGACCTGACCCCTTCTTGCTAAGAACCATAGTTGACGAAATACATAAACATATTTAAAACTTTTTTTTTTTTTTTTTAAAGCTACTGGAAACTTGACATGAAATAGTAAAAACACATATATAATCTGAAAGATGAGTGTCTCATTTAGTATCCACAAAAATTTGAGGGATGATAAATGTTCATAACTATTAGAATACCTATTTCAGAACAGCTCATCTGGCTGCTTAAAAACCATTTCTCAGGATTGTGGGGGTGTGCTCAGATCACGCTTGTTTGACAGCTCCCTTTCAGCTCAAGTAACGTTACAATTTTACATTCTTTGAAGTCACCATCGTTAAAAATGTTTTCAATCAATTTAATTTATAAAGCCCAATATCACAAATCACAGTTTGCCTCACAGGGCTTTACAGCATACAACATCCCTCTGTCCTTAGGACCCTCACAGCGGATAAGGAAAAACTCCCCAAAAAAAAAACCTTTAACGGGGGGAAAAAACGGTAGAAACCTCAGGAAGAGCAACTGAGGAGGGATCCCTCTTCCAGGACGGACAGACGTGCAATAGATGTTGTACAGAACAGATCAGCATAATAAATTAACAGTAATCCGTATGACACGATGAGAGAGAGAGAGAGAGAGAGAGCGAGATCCTCCGGCAGACTAGGCCTAAGTCAGCCTAACTAGGGGCTGGTACAGGGCAAGCCTGAGCCAGCCCTAACTATAAGCTTTATCAAAGAGGAGAGTCTTAAGTCTAGTCTTAAATGTGGAGACGGTGTCTCCCTCCCGGACCGTAACAGGAAGATGATTCCACAGGAGAGGAGCCTGATAGCTGAAGGCTCTGGCTCCTGATCTACTTTTGGAGACTTTAGGGACCACAAGTAACCCTGCGTTCTCAGAGCGCAGTGTTCTGGTGGGATAATAAGGCACTATGAGCTCTCTAAGATATGACGGAGCTTGACCATTTAGAGCTTTATAAGTTAACAGTAGGATTTTAAATTCAATTCTGGATTTTACAGGGAGCCAGTGCAGAGAAGCTAAAACAG